ATATTTTGAGGCCCAAACAATCAAATAACTGAACAAAGAGAAATGAAAATAGTAGTTTAGCTTCCAGGCAAAAAATAGAATAAATCTCAATGAATAGAGGGTTCCCGCTCTGCGCGCTTTGAGAAGAAGTAAGGAAATCAGGACCGGAACCAGTATGAAAAGTCCCCATATTTTCCCTATTTAATAGTTCATTTTAATACAACTGTCCTCGAGTAAGTCCATTGTAACTATGAAGGTTCATTTGCACTTGTTTTTACGGTAATTTTGGAACTGTTTCCGGTGACTATTTCCTTAATTCTTCTTGAAATAGACACAGCGGGAACCGTCTATTAGATACCTTAAAACAGTATAGGCTAACCCAAATTGCGGAACAATAAGTTTTGAAAAAAGAAAAGATTTTTATCCCTTTAACTTTCTGGTTCCAGAAAACTTTGTCCCATTTCAATCCTCTCTTCTAAACTTGAAGGGTCATGGAGATATAAAATACTTTTTTATCTGATATTTGGCCTTTCTACGTTATGGAAATACTAATGATCAACTCTAGTAAGATAGTTTTAAACCACTTGTTGATGACAGACTCAGGCCAACAGAACGAGTTCCTCACGTATAACAAAAACAGTAGTCTACGTAAGATGATCAAAACTATGAAAACATGTCATAGGTCAATGATAATCATAGGGGAGAGATAGAGATATGCACACCTTGAGAGACTGACAAGAGTATTAATTCAACTATACTCAAACAAAACACTTCTTGAAATATTTTTGAGACCCAGGAAACGGGCAGAATACACTGACAAATGATAGTACAGATCAGCACCAAAAGAGAATGATGTTAGTTTTGATCGGATGCTTCAATGAATCCCTTGCCCAGTGTGGCGGAGCGTAGCGGGAACCGAAACAAAGCAGAAAGCAACGAAAGAAAAACTATGCTGTACATCCTCGAAGTAGCATTTAACAAGGTTTCAAAACATGTGCAGACTTTATATACACCTATGCATTCACATTCACAGAGCACTTCCAGAAAACAACTTAAGCCGCGATATAAAGCGTTTTCTTCTCGTAGGTTATGGTGCTTTGTTTAGGTTCCCGCTACGCTCCACCACACTGGGCAAGCAAAGGGGTACTTACCAACGGTACACGAATGTAGAATATGTTTCGCAAGAATAAAGAATCCCGCCGGTGTCCAGAAGGATGTCCTGACTTCAACTCATTGTCTCACAAGACTGGCACTGGAAACGAGTATTCGGCTTAGCCGTTGTAGTAGGACTGGCTGGCAGACCAGAACCATGCGCTTTGCTCTTTGCTCCCACTTGGGGGGGGGGGGGGGGGAGTAGAATGAAGCATTTCGGTAAAGCTGAATGCGGGGAAGAATAAAACGGAACTCGCTATGCTTTAACATGTGACATCCGTTTTCTTGTTCCCTGCATTCTTCTGCATTTCAGCTTTACCGGAATGCGTTATACCTGACGCCCGGTTTCTAACGGACAACCGTAAAGGTTGGAAGGCCGGACCAGCCGGACGGAAGTCGAAGTGGCACTGTTGCAGCCATTTCGACTAGGTGTTGGTGCGAGAGAGCGTGCGCGCCGTGCCGTAGGCAACACATCCATTCCGTTAGTTGGGCGGGACGCGGGGCTACCCCCAAATACCCGCCCCACAGGTACCGTCGCCTCGTGCTCTTGGACAAGGCGAGAGCTTCGGAGAGGCATTGATATCTTCTGGTTTTCCGCTTTAGTTCTTAGCGCTGTTTACTTCTGGTGGATATTCTATAGCATTGGCGGAAGTAATGAACTCGTCTATAGACGGTTCAGTTTAGGCTGACTCGAGCACAATCGGCTGTAGCTACAATCGTGTAGCTACAAACAGGGACGTGGGCAGGGCCAGGAGAGAGAGCGCGCGGCGCGCACGTGTAAGTTACGGCTGGCCTCGCCTGGGACGAATAAAATATGATCCGGTGAAATTGTTTCTGGATCGTGCT